AATTATATATATATATATATATATATATATATATATATATATAAATAGATAGATAGAAATATAGAAATTAGTTGCATAATCGATTAAGTTATTTGACATAATCGGTTAAGCTATTTGAAATAATCGATTATGCTACCTTAGTTTTATGTAACACCTTTAACATAATGCATCACCATCCTTACATAGTTGAATATGAAACTTTCCAATACACACAACCTATAATAGTGACCATATATGATGAATTATGAAATATGAGTTGAAAATGGCACCTCCTGCATAATATATTACCATCTCAACATAGTCAAATATGGTAGTTTTGTCAGTTGACATAAAACATAAAAGAAAATCACAAGTATAAGTATGAGATTATTTTTATAATTAAGCTTTTGAGTGTCTATTTCCGCGACAATCTCTACATCTATAAGAGTATATAAACTAAAGTTGTGGAACTCATGAATAAATCATCACACTTCTCAACAAATCACCTTTTCAAAGCAAGTGTGTTTTATTTAAATTCACCCTAATTTATCCATTTCCTTTCAATTTCATATTGAATCACCACTCCAAATGTAGGAAAAATAGGGGTTAAACACGAATTTTCTCATATATAAAAACAAGTACCAAGTAATTTAGCATAAAATTGTGATTTAATTAACTATATTTAACTACTCACATATAACATGCATATTTGATTAGTGCATGATTTTTCATTTAAAAATCTGATTTTCTATTCTTTCAAATTAAATTTATGCATAATTATTAAAAGTTAAAGTATAAATTAATCATTAATTGTCAATTTTAAAATTATGTGTTTTCGCAATTAAATCATTTACATTTAAGTCTTTTCACACAGTTTTCAAAATATGATTTAACACCATTACTCTCAAATGGAAAACTAATAATCATTGTTTAATTGATCAACCCATTCCAACCAATTTTCGTTGACAAAACTACTCAAATTCCATTACAATGCATACAGACATTATTTTTATTGTCTATTCTATATTCTCCACAAATGAAGAGGTTCCAGGCACAATACTAATTTTCTTTTTGTGTAACCTAATGATATGTATTAGGTACTACGCAAGGACTTTTTTATTTTTTATTTTTTTATATATATTATTTTATTTATTTTTTAAGTACTTATCATTTTTTTAATTATATATAAATTTATGAATCCAATAAAAATACTCCTCCAAAATAATAGTTTTTCAACTAGACTTACGGATGCATGTTTTGATCTTTTCCTCCAATTTTTCCATGTTTATTTCTTTATCTATTAAATCTGTTCATTCTTACTTCTGAAACGTGAGATGCTAGTTTGTTAATTTCTTGTAGTACAGACATTTTTTTTATAATGATCTACAAAATATTTTTAAAATGTTTAATATATTTGTAGGTGCCTGAATTTTTTTTTTAAAAAATTAATCAATCTTTAAATTAAAAAAATTATAATTAAATCATTGATCTTTTATAATTTTTTATCATTAGATAGTTACAGTTAATTAATAAAATCGTTACATTTTTTTTAATTTTAAACTACTATAAACTAGTTTTATGACCTAATTATAAAAATTGTAGAAATTTAAAATTTTAATTAGTATTTTTTAATTTAAAAACCTAATTAAAAAATGTAATAAAAAATGCTTTTTTGGTCTAAATGTCATATATTTTTTTCATTAAAAACAATTCTATTCAAATAAGTAAGATTATTATTAATAACAAAACTTTTTCTCAAAATATTTAACATAACTACATACTACATTCGAACATATTTATTTATTAACTCTTAAAAATATATTAAGTTGCATCTATATCCTTACTTTTTAAAATCACCATTTTCCCATCTATAATAGATCTCTCTACCTAGTTATATTCTTCCAAACCGAACATGAACCTAGCTATCGATCATTTATGTTGATTATACAATTTGAGAAATGCAACATAAGAATGCCATCTTTTTCACAGTACCTACTTTACAAATCACACTTAACACTCCAACTGTACACAATTAACCTCAACTTTTTAGCCCCCAAGGATTGATTTTTGCAACGTGCATGGGATAGAAATGGGAGAAAGGGACAAAAAAATAAGTCAGAAATAATAAAGTGCGTGTTTGGTTGAAAATAAATAAGAAGTGAAAAAAAAAAATGGAACTCTTCACTTTAAATTTGGTCGTTGTGCCCTTGAGAGATAAATTCAGTAGCCCATACGCTTGCTAGTTAGGGTGTTCGGAACCTAGGTTCCACTATATTTTGGAGGAGTCTTCCAGACTTTATCTTGCTACCATTAGGGAGAGACTCTATGTCTTGAACTTGTCTGTTTGTTTTAGTTTCATACTTTACCAAAAAAAAATTTGGTCGTTGTGAAATAATTTTTTAATCAGTTTTTTTTTCTTAACTTCATTTAATCAATTAAACTTCAATTTTATGGGTATACCTACATTAGTCACAATGGATCAGCTTCGTTGGGCTAGCTATTGGGCCTGAAATATGTAAAAGGCCGTACCCTAAAACATTCAACCCATTTCAAAAGAATAATTCCCATGTTAGGCTTAGTTTACAAAGCCTGATCAGCATACCCAAAAAAAAAATAACAAAGGCCCGTGAACTTGAAAAAGAAAAATATCAGATAATTTTAATAAAGTAAGCTTATCGACAAATTGAAAATTTTGGAAACTAATTTGTATGGACAAAGTTTAAGATCGAAATTAAAAAATATAAGTAGCGTTTTTTTTATTTTTTATAACCAAATTGAAATTCACTCTTAAAATTAAAAAGGCGCAATTGTCATACATTTGACATCCTTTAAAATAAAAAATTGGTAACCAAGTGGCTTCTCAATGTGTATAGTTGGTTTGAAAAAAAAATATTAAACAAAATTCTTCATATTTTCATGTTTTATGTTAAAGAAAAGACAAGTTGTATCATTTATTTTCCTCAGCGAAACAAATTTGTAGAAAGGAGAGAAACAAAGTTGTTTCAGCATTTGACTAATTAATATCATAATATTATAGTGATCAGAGAGACCATAACAAAGGTCATATTCAAGTTGCTGCAGAAGTTCAAAGCTTAAATAATAATAATTTTCTAAAACAAATAAATAAAATTAATTTTTTATACGAGATTTAGACATATGCAAGTTGCCGACTAAGCATGATGAGAACATATGCATAATCGATTCCCCTTTTATATATTTTCTTTCATATATTCCATACTTCATACCTGAGTTAACAGATTTTTTTATGAATAAAAAAATAGATAAATTATTAAATGATATAAATAATTGATATCAAAGATTTTAAATTTTAACTTCAATTAAGAAAAATGAGAATGACAGTGTGTATTTTTCCGGTACAAACCATTTTGAGCAAAAGAAATTAATTTGAAAGTTATAAAAAGCTAACTAAAATTTGGGGAAATTTTTAATGTAAAAAAAGGTCAAATAACTTTTTTTTGAGAATATAAATAGTTAGAATTGAAAAAGAAAGAGTAAATTTCATTATAAAGAAGAATACTTAAAATAACTAATAGTTCAAGAATTTTTAAATGTCAAGGTGTTGAACAATTTTAAAGTGTGCTTGATTAGCCGTTTAAAAGTTTTGAGATGCGTGTTTTTACTTTCCAATAGATCAAATGCAAAAGTAACAAAACTAATACTTTGAAATTAAAGTGAGTTGAATTGAAACTTTTATCTAAACATACATTTAATATCTAAAAGAGGAAGAAATCATAATAAGAGATTAATTGGTTATAAGGACTATTAACTCTATTTTATTACATAGGAGGAGTATATAATGATCAAGTACTTAGCAATTGATTTTTTTTACAACAATAACAATAAAAATATAATTTAAAATCTCATGCAATTTATTCAAATTTCTTACTACTAAACTGACTCTAATGAATATAGATATATAAATAAAGAATTGATTATACATATGTCAATAATTATTTGTTTTTCAAAGAAGTTATTTATAAAAAGTAGACTTTTTTTTTTTTTTTTTATCATTCTCTAGAAATAAGCTGATTCAAGATGAACTTCAATTTAAGAAAATAAAATTTATTAATTTAAAAAATAAGCAACTCAAATTTTGAAATAAAGGGATATTTCTCACATAAAACTAAAGTTAAAAATAATTTATTTAAAATTTTAAAAGATAAAAATAGTGTTAATAATAAAGTTCCACATATTAATGAGAAGGGTAATATTCCGTAAAAAAAGAGACAAATAAAATATAATAAGGGTATTTTCACTTTAAGAACTAATAGTGGTAATTCCATTTTATTATATAAGGGAGTTTATATATATATATATGTACTCTTTTCCAAAAATAGATAGTTTTCTCTCAAAATAGACTAATGCAAATGCTAACCAACGTCCTACTGATTTAGGAATCAATTTTTTATATAAAAAAAATTTATTAATGCACCATTAAGTGATTTCTAATGCATCCTCATTCTGGTTTCCAATCAAAGCTTTTTCTTATTAATTCCTTAACAATATCGGTTAGCAAGCTCCATGAATAATTCAAGACACGGAAATTAATGTCACTTCTTAAACATGATGTTTTATAGGTATCACTTTTTTAATCTCAACTTTTGTTTCATTTAGGTTAAACTTCAAGTTATGCCTCAAAAATAAATAATTACTGGTAAATGGTTTACAAGCTTGCATTGGAATTCAAGAAATAATAAGGGAGTTCTTAATGCAAAGGGCTCTTTGTTTTGAAGCAACATCTCTATTGCACTTGACAGTGATATGTCTTGCACCTTCCACAATCAAACTTGTCAAACTCTTCTGCTTCTCATCATTATTTGATTTTGAACCCATAACAAAAGAACTGAGATTTCAGCATTATTCCCCTGCTGAAAAATTCATCATTGGCCTAATTTGAGTCAAAGATAACATCATGAGAAACTAATTATAAGACTAACAAGGAACAACAAGCAAAATGAAAATGAGGATGTTGTTAGAAGTTTATCCTGAAGAAGCAATCTTAGGCTCTACATATGATGTTGACTGTGCTAAAGATGGAATCAGAAATTCTGTAATCTGTCTTGCAAGTTTCCCCTACCAAAATGGAAAACATTGATTAATAATTTGTATGGAAGAAGCAAACTAGTTGAAACCTTCTTTTCTTGAATTTTGATGGTATATAAGCTTCTTCCTGGAGACCAGTTATACAGTGTTTACGAAATGTTAATGTATTATAAGCCTAACATGTCATTATTATCATGTTTCTACAGAAATTTCCCTACTCCTTTTCTCTCCTTTTGTTTTCCATTGCTACTGATTCTGCTGAGCAATGCTTCAGCTAATGGTGTCAAAGAAAAGGCAATCATTTTCTTTTCCTAATTCATTCCTTACGTTAGCTAGATACATATTTGATTTATCTGAGCTTAGCTCTTAACATGTAAGTTTTTTGTTTTCTATGAGTTTGATCATAACATTTGACATGTATGCAGAACTTTTACATTGTTTTCCTGGGAGCTCATCCTGTGAGTAGAGACATAGCTATAGAGACCCATTTAAATATTCTCTCCGCTGTTAAAGAAAGGTAGCCTGAATCATGAATATTTTCATTTTTTTTAATCATGTTATAAGTATGAAATTAACTTTGTCGATGATTAATCTTTATCCGGAACCTGGTTGACCACCTTAAGTGAGATCTTTTTTCAATTTTTTCTATCCAAAAAGCTTAAATCAAAATCTTGTTTAAAGAGACAAAGTATATATAGTTCTATTCAGACCAATAATTTGTTGGTCATGAACATTTCCTCATGCTTCACTCTTCAAGCATAAAATCACATAAGAGTGACTATGTGGCTCTTGTTTAATTTGTGTTTACTTAGCAGCCACCTTGAAGCCAAAGAATCCATGGTATACAGCTATACAAAGAGCTTTAATGCATTTGCTGCTAAACTGTCTGAGGATGAAGTTAAAAAGTTATCAGGCATGTGATCATTTTTTCTCTAGTTCCCTCATAATTGTCAATTGGTGAATACTTTTAGTCATGTTTTCTCACTTTTTTTTTTGGTATGTTTAGCAATGGATGAAGTGGTTTCAGTATTTCCAAATCAGTACCGAAAGCTACACACAACAAGATCATGGGATTTTATTGGGTTACCTTTGACTGCTAAGAGAAAACTAAAAGCTGAGAGTGACATAATTGTGGCTCTTTTGGACACAGGTTCATCATACCTTACTTTTCATTTTCATTTACTTATACTTTCTTGTCTTGATATTATATATATAATAGCACTTCATGATTTAACTGACTGTGTCTCCATATTGGTGAGGTAGGGATCACTCCTGAGATTCATAGCTTCAAGGATGATGGATTTGGCCCTCCACCTGCTAAATGGAAAGGAACTTGTGATCAATACGCTAATTTTTCAGGCTGCAATAAGTAACACCTGACATCCCTATTCTTCTGTACATTGTGTCACTATAGTTTCTAAGCACAAACATCACAAGTTCTAGCATGACTTGAGCTAACACCATGCATTATTCCTGTGCTTGGCAACTCGCCATGGAAAACTTGAAGCAAACTCATAGGAGCCAAATACTTCAAGATTGATGGAAGGAATGATCCATCTGACATATTATCCCCCATAGATATGCTTGGTCATGGCACTCACACTGCATCAACAGCAGTAGGCAATCTTGTCCCCAATGCAAGTCTCTTTGGCATAGCCAAAGGGACGGCACGCGGTGCGGTGCCATCAGCCAGATTGGCAGTTTACAAAGTGTGCTGGGTAAGTGATGGATGTGCAGACATGGACATACTTGCAGCATTTGAAGCTGCTATCCATGATGGTGTGGATGTCATATCCGTTTCCATAGGTGGAGGGGATGCAAATTATGTGCAGGACTCTATAGGAGTTGGAGCATTTCATGCCATGAGGAAAGGCATAATCACTGTGGCCTCAGCTGGAAATGATGGACCCTTTATGGCAACTGTCACAAATAATGCACCATGGATAGTAACAGTGGCAGCTAGTGGCATTGATAGGGATTTCCGGAGCACTATTGAGTTGGGGAGTGGAAAGAATGTTTCGGTAAGTTCTATTAATTTGCCACTCACAAGTCACACATTCTCATATATTCAAAGGGTTTAATAATTATGCATTCTCAATGTAAAAAATTTTACACCGTAAATCAATAGAAAGAATCACCGATATGACTTTTAAGGTAGTTATCATAAAAGTCACAAACTTATCATATATAATGATCTGAGATTGCCTAATTGGATAACTGCGTAAATTTTTTTAACATTGTCAAAGTATAACTTATTTTCTCATACTAACAGGTTTGATGGTTATGAAAACACTACTATTCACAGTTAACCAATTTTTAATTTCACAAACAAGGTTTCACATACAACTATAATTAACTTTAATGAAACATAGAGTAATTGAAATAAATTATTTGAGTGTAAAAGAGGTTTCCAGATTTTTGTTTCTGTATGAGAACTGAGAAGTTTCTGTAATTCTGATAGACTTCAAGGTGACCTCTGATGTATCTAGCTAAATATATAAGGTGAGTCTACATTGTTATAAGTTGCAAGCATGTACAAGTTATTGGCACAATCTACCCCTATGAAGCAATCATACCATATGTAACGATCTTTTCTTATTCAATTGTGAAGACTATTTCATTAAAGGTCACATGCACGCAACTTGTGGCGTTATATCCAATACCAAATAATGTAGTTTGAACACAAAATATTCATCACAATACTTCCTGACTAGTCACTGATGTTAGATTGGTTATAAATGAAATCATATGACCACCCTAATGGTTACTGAAATTACTATATTCCTACACATCCCACTGTTGCTGTAATGCAGGGGGCAGGAGTGAGCACCTTCAATCCAAAACAAAAACAGTACCCCTTTGTTAATGGCATTGATGCGGCCAGAAACTCTGAAAGCAAGGAAAATGCCAAGTAATTTTCTCTTTGTTTCTTTGACAGCACCTATTTAAGCTTTCCATATTAATGAAGAACATTTCAATGCATTGTCAGATTCTGCTTTGAAGACTCCTTGGAGCCAAAAAAGGTGAAAGGAAAACTTGTATACTGTAGTTTAGGAACTTGGGGCACTGAAGCTGTTGTGAAAGCAATCGGAGGCATTGGTACTATACTTGAAAGTGAGCAATTTTTTGAAATGGCCCAAATATTCATGGCTCCGGCTACCATCGTGAATAGTAGCATAGGTCAAATTATTACCAATTATACAAAGTCCACAAGGTATGATAAGATGTTCTTAATTGCTCTCTTAATGGCTTCTGAGATCGATATTTTTCTACTTTTTTATTTTTCTTTAACAAGCTTATAAATGAATCTTTGTTACAATACCTTTGTACTGAATTATCTCATGATAAATTTTATTTGAATTTCTTGATAAACTAAGGTCACCATCAGCAGTAATACATAAGAGCCATGAAGTAAAAATATCAGCCCCATTTACTGCTTCTTTTTCATCTAGGGGTCCAAATCCATCATCTCAACATATTCTCAAGGTACCATATGTTGCAAAACTTCCTCTATTATATAGTTAGTGGACTTTTTTCTACCATGCTTTTATGTTGATCATAAAGCTATTATCTTAGGAATTGCGTAAGTTTTATAATCCATTTGATGCAGCCTGATGTTACAGCTCCTGGCCTTAACATCTTGGCATCTTATACACCTATGAAGTCAATTACTGGTGAGAAAGGGGATACCCAATTTTCAGAATTTACATTGATGTCTGGAACTTCTATGTCATGCCCTCATGTTTCTGGAGTAGCAGCATATGTGAAGTCATTTCATCCAGATTGGACTCCTGCTGCAATCAGATCAGCCATCATTACTACAGGTGAAAGTTAAAGCCTATTTCCACTTTTGTTAGTTATTTTGTTTGATCACATGCAAAAGCTAAAGCCTTTGTGCCCCAAAGTCACAACTTCATAGTAAATAGTCTATGCACTAATTGTTTAAAACTACCATCCAATAACAAACTATCTAGCAAATTTGTTTACTTTTACGATAACCGCATTAAATCATACTATGATGATTTCTAATTGGTTAACTGTGTAAATTTTTTTAGACCAATTACAAACTACTATATAGGTAAGTTAGTTTATTTTTCCCATAACTACCTTAAATCACACTATTGAAGATTTCGGACTGATTCATAATGATAATTTTTTTTTATAATAGCAATGCATAAAAACTAAAATTTATCTTTTAAGATGGCTTGACTTGTGACTTGTCTATGTATTTTTTTTGTTAAGCTAAACCTATGAGTCAGAGAGTTAACAAGGAGGCAGAATTTGCTTATGGTGCTGGTCAAGTGAACCCTACAAGAGCTGTGAGCCCTGGTTTAGTCTATGACATGGATGACTTTGCATATATCCAGTTCTTATGCCATGAGGGCTATAATAGTTCCATTCTATCAGTGTTAGTTGGCTCTCCTGTAAACTGCTCCTCATTGCTTCCTGGGCTTGGCCATGATGCTATCAACTATCCCAGCATGCAACTAAGTGTGAAAAACAACACAGGCACAACAGTAGGAGTTTTCAGGAGAAGAGTGACTAATGTTGGTCCTGGTCCAACCATCTTCAATGCCACCATCAGATCTCCCAAAGGAGTGGAAATCACAGTGAAGCCGACTAGCCTCATTTTCTCTCACACCCTTCAGAAAAGGAGCTTCAAGGTGGTGGTGAAAGCAAAACCTATGGCAAGCATGAAAATTGTGTCAGGTTCCCTTATTTGGAGAAGCCCACGTTACATTGTCAGGAGCCCCATTGTTATATATAGCCCATAACTGTAAGGGTACATATTTAGCAGTTGCCAACATAAATCTTGTAGCATTCATTGCATGTGTGCTAACAAATATGGCACTTCTTGTGTTTAATGTTGACATTTTGTTAATAATGTGATTATAGTTCTTTGACCCTGTAATGTTGTTTATTAAGCCTATGCAAGCATCAAGAGAAGTCTTAGTTATGGTCACAGAACACAGAAGCTTCAGTTTAGATGTTTTATTACTCATGAGATCAGGGCAGGCTAGAGGAGAATTGAAATCTTGCAATCACAATATTATGAATTTATCGATCGCATGGAAAAGGTTAATGTCTATCTATTATAATATAAAAATCGAGTTACTCTCTACCAGAGTTGACAATTTATCTCAAAATGTACTTTTTTTTAATCCAACCATTTGACTCATTTTAAAACCTCTACACATAATTCTGTTAATTGTTATGTCTTCCCTACATATTAGAATGTGTTCTCTTGGAGTCTAGACACATGCCTAATCATATAAATATGACCAGGGACGGATCCACGTTAAGCTTAATGGGGACAATTGCCCCACAAAGTTTTATATTTTAATTATAAATACTTAAAAAGTATTTTTTTGTCTTAAAAAAATACGTATTATCCCTATAAAATAAGTTTTTTTAAATGAGTACAAAAATTTATGAAAGGTAAAAAAGAATAATATTAATTTTATTACTTTTAACCTTTTAATTTTTAACATTTCAATTTTTTTTATCTAATAAAATAATTTAAAATTAAGATCTAATGTATACTATTTCAACCCTTAACCACTAAGTCAATCATAGTAGTTTCATTTCGCCTATTTAACATCAAACAAGTTATAAAAGATTATAAATATAAATTTTATTACAATCTCAAATTAAAAAAAAATGAAATTGTCACTCTAATCACTAAACAATCCTAATTTACAATTTTTTTTTATATTTTAGATTGTTTTGTCATGAAAATATGTATTTTGTAAAAGTATTATTATATTTTTGTATATATAAATATTACATACTAGTCCTACTAAAAAATTTTCTGGATCCGTCATTAAACATGACCATCAAAAGATTAATGACAAAACAACTTGTAGAATACAAATAATAAAAAGATATTTGTAGATATAATTTTTTTTTTCTCAACCAACCAACTTCCTTATTTTCAACAGTATATATTTCTATAGTTTCATGAAATAAACTATATGTGATCTTACTAAAAAAATTATTGAAAGAAACCGGTGAGTTTAGTAAAGGATTGTGTCTTGCCGTAATTTGTTATTAAAAATAAATAAATTAATAAATAAACTCACTCCTTATTTAGTTTGACTTGGTGATTCTACTTTCCAATTTGGTGCATTGGTAATCTTATTTAATTATTTATTTCCACCTTTCTATTAATTGGGAACTGTGGCCTTGGAATTTGAAGAGACGAAATCCCACACGTACACGGCATCCACATGTGTGTATGGTACGTGAAACGAGCGAAAGAAAATATCAGATTGACCAAGGTTGCAATCACCCACATGTCACGTGTCCACATTCCTCTACTAGTGTCTTTCATTTTTGGTTTTGGTTCCCTTGGTGGCTCTTTTCTACCCACATAAGTATAAGAAACGGCATAGACACATCCAATCCAAATAATAATAATAATAATAATAATCTATTTATATATATATATTAACAGTATAATTAAAATAAAATATACAAATTAAAGAGAATACAAACTGAATATATAAAGTTGACTAAAACTCAAGGTCGCATTCTTTGTAGATGGTATATTTAATAAGTCATCTGAAATTTTAATAACACATACGACTTTTTATATAAAATATCTCTAATTAAAGTGACCACTAGTGTGGCAAATGATCACATGTTAATTTGTAAGAAAAAGTAAGGGTAGGAATATAATTAGTGAGAATATAATAATACAACTACATACACTGAATCAATTCTAATCGTTGACCAAGACCAGCGTAATATTTATGTAGAAAACAGGAATGAATTGGTAGCATGATAATTATTAACATGGCCTCTTCACCAACCTTACTAGCTTTTCTTCTTCTTCTTCTTCTTCTCCGCCTTCACCGTTCCTCGCCACTCTCACTCTCCGTCGAAGACGTCATAGTTTCGTCGCCCGAGGGAACCTTCACCGCAGGGTTCACCTCCGTTGGGGAAAATGCCTATTGCTTCGCCATATGGTTCTCTTCGCAACCTCCCAAAACCATCGTTTGGATGGCCAATCGCGACCAGCCGGTCAACGGAAAGCGCTCCTCTCTTTCACTTCTTAAGACCGGCGACCTCGTGTTAACCGACGCCGCTCAGTTCAACGTCTGGTCCACCGGCACGCTCTCTCCGAATCCGCTGGAGCTGCATTTGTTCGATACCGCCAACCTCGTGCTCCGGGATCAGAGCAATAGAACCTCTGTTCTGTGGCAGAGCTTTGATTTTCCCACCGATACGCTCCTTCCTGGCCAGATTCTCACTAGGTATCACCGTTTTTTTTTTTTTTTTTTTTTTTTTCTCTCTCTTTCTTTTTTTGTTAATACTAATCATACAGTACTACACGGAATTCATGTTTAGCAGCATTACAAGCATTGCCAACTGTTCATTGCTTTACTTTTTTACTTCAAGGATGTCAATTTCATTCTTTATTTTGAAGTAACCTTAGAGAATTAATTAATTAATGCATGGTTAAATTTAATGATTTGAGTAATAATGTGAAGTATGGTCAACTTGTTAATGGTTAATCTTTGCATCTTTGCTTAATAGTTAATTTTTACATCTTTGTCTTAATAATCGGTCGTCACACTTGTAGAGGGATCTTAGAGTTTGTTAGTGATTAGTTTTATTTTCTGTTAATTTATTTTGACTTACCAAGCTTGTATATAGCCTCATCCTCTCTTGTAAATATTTATATTAGAATTACATTCAATTTTATATTCTCTTTGTTTTTTCCTTTCTCTCTTTTCTCCCACTTTTCTGCTACAACTCTAAAACCTTTAACACTAGCAAGATTTTTTTTTCTTAATTACATTTTTTTTAATTAAATCGATAAGGAAATCTTGTTTAAATAGATTAAATTCTGATCACTTCGACTAACAATTTATTATGTTATTTGAAATGATAGAATTAACCGAAGAATTTCTATAAAGACTCTTAATTTAAGGACTAATTTATTAATTTTTGAAAGAGTTTGATTTCCTTATAAAAATGTTATTTTTCATATTAATTTTTTAAGTAACATTTATTTTGAGATTGAATTTTTATCATCATCAAAGTCAACGATTTTTAAATATCATTTTTATACTAAATATAATTTTAAATTTTTTTAATTATAAAATCCAAAGAACTTGCTAAAAAGTTACAGATCAGATAATAGTATAAATTCTTTATATATATTATCCATATATTTTGATTAAATTGTTTAAATAATTAACTTTGTGAAATAAAATAATTTATCTCAATTGTAAATAAAATGATCAACTGTTTATATATACACTCATAAGAGCTTATAACTATATTAAAATATCGATAGTTGATATTTTCATCAACTAGTAAGATTTCTTACTTTATCTTAGATATTAAGAACATCAATAACTAAATTTCATGAATTACTGTGGCAGGTTCACGAAGCTTGTTTCCTCAAGAAGCGAGGGCAACTATTCCTCTGGTTTTTACAAGCTCTTCTTCGACAATGACAACGTTTTCCGTCTTCTATACGAGGGTCCTCAAGTTTCAAGCGTTTACTGGCCAGATCCTTGGCTGGTTAGCAACAACGTTGGCAGTGGTAACGGTAGATCCACGTACAATAGTAGCAGAGTTGCAGTCTTAGATGAATATGGTCAATTTCGTGCTTCTGATCATTTCAGTTTCAAGACAATTGACTATGGGTTACTCCTCCAACGAAGATTGACCCTTGATCATGATGGCAATGTTCGTGCCTATAGCAGAAAAAATGGCCAAGAAAATTGGTCAATATCAGGGCAATTTAAATCACAACCTTGTTTCATTCACGGGATTTGTGGACCCAACAGTATATGCAGTTATGAACCAGTAAGTGGTAGAAAGTGTGCGTGCCTTGAAGGGTATAGTTGGATTGATAGTCAAGATTGGACTCTAGGTTGCAAACCAAATTTCCAACCAACTTGTGACAACAAGACAGAATATCGCTTCATATCCTATGATGAAGTAGATTTCTATGGTTATGATTATGGTTCATCCTTTGAAAATTTCACCTATAAACAATGTGAGAGTTTGTGTTTGGAATTGTGCGAGTGCATGGGCTTTCAGTACACTTTTGCTGCAGAAAATGGTCATTTTTGGTGTTATCCCAAGACACAATTGCTAAATGGACATCGTTCACCCGGTTTCACGGGTCAAATTTTCTTGCGTTTGCCGAAAACAAGTGCTCAAGAAGTAAACCACATGCAAAACAATGATGGCTTGGTTTGTTCTAGAAATGCTGAGAAGTTACTAGAGAGACCATACGTGAAAGGCAAGGAAAATGGGTCGGTGAAATTCATGCTTTGGTTTGCAGTTGGGTTGGGAGGGTTTGAGGTGGTGTGCATCTTTATGGTGTGGTGTCTCCTGTTTAGGAGTAGCAACCACTTGGTTAGTGCAGACCAACAAGGGTATGTTCTTGCAGCAGCGACGGGGTTCAGAAGATACACTTACTCTGAACTTAAACAAGCCACGAAAGGTTTCAGTGAAGAGATTGGAAGGGGTGCTGGGGGAGTTGTGTACAAGGGTGTGTTATCAGATAACCGTGTTGCAGCAATAAAGAAGCTACATGAATTTGCCGATCAAGGAGAGAGTGAGTTTCTCACTGAAATGAGTATCATTGCAAGGCTTAACCACATGAACTTAATTGGCATGTGGGGGTATTGTGTAGAAGGGAAACACAGGATGTTGGTGTATGAGTACATGGAAAATGGCTCTTTGGCTAATAATCTCCCTTCAAATGCACTTGATTGGAATAAGAGGTACAACATTGCTGTGGGAATGGCAAAGGGTTTGGCCTACTTGCATGAAGAGTGCTTGGAGTGGATTTTGCATTGTGACATAAAGCCTCAAAACATACTTCTTGACTCTGATTACCAACCCAAGGTGGCAGATTTTGGCTTGTCCAAGCCCTTGAATAGGAACAACCTCAACAACTCAAGCTTCTCCAGGATAAGAGGGACAAGGGGTTACATGGCACCAGAATGGGTTTTCAACTTGCAAATCACTTCCAAAGTTGATGTTTATAGCTATGGGATTGTGGTGTTGGAGATGATAAGTGGGAGGAGTCCAATGACAGGTGTACAAGTCACGGAGTTAGGAGCAGAGTCTCATAATGAGAGGTTGGCAACATGGGTGAGGGAGAAGAGGAAGAAAGCAGCAGAAGGGGCTTGTTGGGTGGAACAAATTGTTGACCCCACTTTGGGATCAGATTATGACATGAAGCAGATGGAGATATTGGCAACAGTGGCTTTGGAATGTGTTGAGGAAGAGAAAGACGTGAGACCTAGCATGAGTCAAGTCGTTGAGAGGCTCCAAAGTCATGACTCATGAACATGATTCTTCATGATCTCTCATGGCTAGCTATGTCGCTTTCTGATTGTCATTTTCTGTTCCTCTTGACATTTTAGGTTTTGATATGTAGCGCTTGTTTATCTTGTTGCGCATATAGGTAGGAAAAAGATGGTTGGAGTTAGGCATCGAAAGGTATAAAGAGAGAAGAGATAAATAATGGTATAATTTATAATGTAACGTGATGCGAAAAGAAGAAAGATAAAGATAAATTACGAATGTTAATGTAGTTTTTATGTGTGTTTCCTTGATTAACAATTTCAGCCTCGTCCTTTATGTGTTTTTACAACAATTAAAATATAATTTTGCCGTTTTTGACTTAGCGTCTGTTTTTAATTAATTAATTACTTAATTAATGTGTATTTGTAGTAATTTTTTTTAATGTTTGTTCAGTGAAATGAAATTCGTAAACATAAATTAATATTTAATTATCATTAGAACATTAGATATGTAGACTATGCTCATTAAAAAAATAGTATTTTTTTTTTTATTTTGTGATTATGCTCGAAAATATTTTTTTGGAGAATTAATTATTTACTATACAATAAACAGATATTTTTTTTTGACAACATAAACAGTTACTTAAAAAAGCAGTCAAAAGAAAAAGTATCTTAAGGGCGGCTGTATTAAAATAACCTTCCATTCAAAGATGTAAACCAACTTTATTGATGGTATTTTTGTACACACGAAGTCGTGCATGCTATATCTATAACCATGCAATTTCATGGTTACATTCACGTAACATATACTTCTTCCATCACATGTTATCTTACAGTTTTTATATAGAACGAGAAAAATTAATAAAAAAATTATAATTTATAAAATTAATTTTACCGAAAATAATGTAATATAATAATATTTTAAAATATTAAAACGAGAATAAATAAAAAAAAAATTAAAATTAAAAAGATGAGGTCGACTTGATGAGGAGCTTGAAATAATATTTATAATATCTCAAATTTGAATGTTGTTGAGTGTAATTTTTTCTACCGACAAATCATAATAACAATAATTTAAAAATAAGAATAAAGTGATGGTGAGTTGTAATAAGTTCTGAAATGTGGGTGCCATAATTGACAAACTTAGCAGCCGTCACAATTGAATAGCAGCACTTGAAAACTTAGCAATGGAAAACCTGTGGAGAAATTCACACTAAAAAAATAAACAATACGCGGTTGAAAATTTGGACAAGTCTCCTCAAAGGACAATTACTTTTTCTAAAAGGCAAAAAGTAACTTGATCTTTTTTCTAAACAACAATTATTTTATTCTAAAAGACAATTGCTTTGACAATAATTCACCCAAATATGCAATTAGAATAACAAAATTGTTATGATCATGAAAACTACACAAAATACTCAAATTTAGTAGAAACAATTTTAAACCTAGATAATTCTTTTTTTAATTTTTTTATTTTTACAATTAGGCTTTAGTTATGAGAATTCTAATTATCTAATAATTTACGGAATAAAGAGATTGTATACGAATACATTTTTATTGCACAATACAATTCAGAAAATAATATCTAGAAACATTGACACTCAAAAAAGAAAGCAAGTTCTACAAAAGAAGTGGCAACAAAAACTGCTCCAAAAAAGGTTTCTGATGGAACAAATGATTTAGAAGAAAAGCCTTCAAATTCATCGATAGAAAAGGAAAAACGTGAACCTTCGATTAAAAATAGAACTAGTATAGTAAATGAAATAAATAAAAAACAATAATGTTACACAAGTGATCCATATGATTAAAAAAAAACATAATTAATTAAGAAAAAAAGGTTGTTGATTGGTGGGTCATATTTTACATGGTTCGAAGACAAGAAAAAGAAGAGGCAGGAGAAAGGTACTTCCAAAAGAAGTTTTGTAAAGTTTATTTTGCCTTGAGGAAAATGTATTTTCGTGTTTGCTGTAGAAAACTTTCATTACTATTAGTTATTTATATATTATCCCAAAATGACTTTGGTTTTGCCTATATATTTTTCTTCCAAAAAAACAAATCATGATATTATTGTATGTTATTTAGAAAGAGTAATGATATATATTAAACAATTTGTACAATATCATTTTTTATATATATCTCTATATTATGTGATAAAGTTTGATAGACTAATACGATGATATTATATGATGAATTGTTTTGGAATATTATTATATTGATGTGTTGAATGGTTGAGATGTGACAATGTATATTATGATGAATATGACGAGGATGAATTATTAAAATGTGATTATGCATATTATGATGAGTACTTTGATGAAATGAGATGAATAAGTCTAGTGCGGCAGACGAGACACTCAAGGAGATGAGTTACACATATTATATGGTTATGATGTGCATATTGAGTTTATACATTCATGTTTTGTTTCGCGAAATAATGAGTCTATGCAGGTCATCTACTTGTGTTCGAGGTGTTATGGTGAGGAAACCTCTAACAAGAATGAGAGACTACCATGATTAGTTGTAACACTTTAACAACACCTTGATAGACATCTCCTAGTTTAGGTAGTTCAAGAAGATCATTATTGATGGACGATCCTTACATTATTCCATAGAGTGATCTCATTCCATTATTCCTAGGATATTTTGCATTATCGATGATGATGAGATTGATATCACACCCATATAGAGTTAGGAGCAAACATTACACGAGTCTTAATCATGATTAAGAAGTATTGTATGAATTGTTGGTGTTAGAAACACAAAAAAAAAACTTATTTTTTTTACGCATAATGAGAGAGTATAAACAAGTCAACACCATAGAGAAATAGAAAAAAAATCACACAAAATTTATTTAATATGATTTAACTCTTCATGTCTATGTTTACAAGGATGTTCATTATATATTTCAAAATATATTACATATATATCATCACAATCTTCCCTTCATGTTTTGTGGGTTAAACTTGAAAACCCTTCTTCATAAGTTTTATGGGTGAAACTTGGAAACCCATCCCTTACAAGTTTTTTGGCAAAACTTGAAAATCCTCCTTCACAAGTTTTTGATGAAACTTGAAAACTGTCCTTCATATAACCTCCTTTATCATTTAAGGTAGTGGACCCCTCTACATGATCGGTGATTCTTCAGAGTCTTTCTATTTATTGACCTAACATCCTAATTATAAAAAAAGGAAATAAATCTCTAAAATAAATACAATATTTTTAACTCTAAGCAATATCCTAAAGACAAATAATATATTTTTATATGAGAACAATATCTTAGAGATTTGAAATTGAAAATTTGAATTGTTTTTTTTCCAACAATTCTTCCCTCGATTAAAATTTTCATATTTGATCTTCTTGTTGTCATGAATGATCATCACAATCATCTTCAATCATATTTTTTCTTTATAGTATTTTTTGTGTATTGGAATCTTCGTATGTCAATCTTCAATATTTAAGTAATAAGTCACTAGGTTACACGAACCATAAGCTTTGATACCACTATTAGAAGAAAAAAAACTTTTTCTTTTATGTATAAGGATGAGAAAGAAAAAGTAAGTCAACATCATAAAGATATAGAAAAATATCAAACAAAATTTATTTAATGTGGTTCAATCCTTAATGCCTATGTCCACAAAGATGTTTATCATATATCTTAAAATGTATTACATATATATCCTCAAAATTCACCCTTCAAGTTTTGTGGGTTAAACTTGAAAATCCCTCCTCATAAGTTTTATGGGTGAAACTTGGAAACTCCTTCCTCACTAATTTTATGTGTGAAACTTGGAAACTCCTTCTTCACTAGTTTTATGGGTGAAACTTGGAAACTTTCACAAGTTTTATAAATGAAATTTGGAAACACCTTCCTCAATGATTTTATGGGTAAAACTTAGAAACCCTTCCCTTACAAGTTTTCCGAGGAAACTTAGAAATCCTCCTTCACATGTTTTCTAACAAAACTTGGAAATCCTCCTTCATATGACCTCTCTCATTTACCTTGATGATTGTTAAACTCTAGATGTAGATCCCCGAGATCGCCTTCGATTGCCTCTAGTTCTCATTCCTCTTTAGATTGTAAGAGCATGCGTTAAAAGCATGTGAGCAACCTAAGCCTTACTAATCTTTCAATAAAGGAAAAACTAAACCTTAACATGTGTGTAACCCATCGAAAAAACTCGTTAACTCACCTTCAATTATTCTTGTCTTGAAATTTAAACAATTATATATAGTAATTAACTAAAAATATTCTTTTTATCACTAACTCTCATTTTTAAAATAATCCCTAATTAATAAATTAAAATATCTATTAATTTATTCTAAAAAAAGTTGGGATGTTATACTCAAAGCCTGCTTGTGAAGTGATTCTTCACTCAATGCTTATAGTGGTTTGATCACCTGTGGTAAGATTTTGGTTTTCAAATCCATTTGGAAAACGTTTTTGAAAACCCGAACTGAATCTTGCACCTAATCATCTCATGTTCTAGGAATAGACTTGATGTGGTTAGTCACCCTTGTTCAAGTTATTGTTCTTAATGTGAAGTGTTAAATTCAAAACATAGAGGAATCATGTTTGAAGATTAATAACTTCAGGATTTAACTTTAAGGAATCTTGTTGGATTACTAAATGAACGTGGAGATAATGAAATTGAAATCGTATTTATTTTAAGAAGATCTACAAGTTAGCAAGTACTTCTGAACCAATCCTTGTTTCTTAAAATAGTTTTTGCCAATTTTATTTTATTGTGTTGTTTATTTCATCTTTGTTCAATTGAAATCATATCAACATTCTCACGCAAATCATTAGAGCAAGAATTACTAAACTCTCAAATCCCTGAGGACGATACTTAAACACTACATCGAAACTTGGTTCGCTTGCCAAGTGGAGTGATCGCAAAATCTTCATCATGAAGATTGTTAGTTAAAGATTTAAAAAAAATGTTAAAAATATAAATTGATAAAAAAGAAGAGAGGAGAGAAAATGAAGTAAGATACTTGTGTAGTAGGAATACAAAAGTGGATTCACGTTTTTATGCACATATTAGCTTGTTACAATGACTTAGAAGTCTAAAAGCACAAGGTTACAAGGAAAGATGCACACATAGTTATCTTTGTTGTACTACCTATTAAAAACAAGGATTTTCACCTATTTTTACTTATTACATATTGGCCAAACGTACTACATATCACCTACTTTCACCTAAATCAAATTTCACATATGACAAATACTAAACAACATATTTGATATTCAAAATATTAAGAAAATTCTTTAAGTCTAAAACTCATTTTAAAGATTTTTCTTCAACACTTCAAGTTTTGATCTTAGTATTTC